AAATTGCCACTGAAAACAGTAACATAAATGGCCTAACAAAAAGGGGAAAACATAGAATAATTTAATAATAATAATTTCTTATCACATATACTTTTAGATGGTGAACAGCGAGTTGGTTCAGTGGATCTAAATAAGAGGGGTAAGTCCTAAGACTATTTGAATAATTAGCTGAAGCAAAACACTGAAAACAAAACAGAAGTTAGTAAGTAGCAGCCATACAACCAAGGCAAATTCAAATAGAATCAAAACTAGGTGAGGATAGCTAGGCATAGTGACAGATGCCTATAATCCCAGCTCTTGGGAGGCTGAGGCAGAACGACTATTATTCATGGCCAACCTGGCCTACATAGCAAGATTCTGTGTCAAAAAAATTAAAATGGCAAGAAAAAAAGAGGAAAAATAGAAGAGCCAGGAACTTAGCACATAGGAGAACAAAAAAAATCATAACAGTATTCCTGAATCTACAACAAAATTTTATTCCACCTGAACCAGCAACACAGTTTCCTAGAGAACCAAGCCTGTGATATAGACAATCACCTACCATCCTTCTGCACACAATCAACAGGGAGAAAATAGGAAATGCATGAACCCCCCGCCCCAACCTATACTGAAAAAGTATGAATTTTTTTCAACAAATAATCTTTAAAAGGATGACCAACTCGCCAGGAATGGTGGCGCATGCCTTTAATCTCAGCACTCAGGAAGCACAAGATTTCTGTGAGACTGAGGACAGCCTGCTCCACATAGAGAGTTCCAGACCAACTGGGGCTATAGGGGGTACCCTGTCTCAAAAAATAAAAAACAACAAAACAACAAAAAAAGCTGACCAACTCAACTGTAAGCGAATAAAAGTCAGATTTTAGACAACCTGTTTTTCTTTATAAAAATTGGACTCTCTCCTCAAGAAAAGAACTGGAGGTGGGGGCAGGTGGAAAGATGACTCAACTGTTAAGAGCACTGGCTATTCTTGCAGAGGACTGGGGTTAGGTTCCTGCACCCAAATGGCAGCTAACAACTGTATGTAACTCCAGTTCCAAGGGATCAGATGCCCTCTTCTGGCCTCTGCAGGCATTGTGCAACATGGGGTGTACAGACACACATGTAGGCAGAACACTCATACACATAAAATAACAGTTTTTTTTTTAACCTGGGGTGGGGGGTAAAAAAGCTGTTAGGATTTAGAAAGCACACATTTAGAGGTTTGTTTGTTTTTTTTTAAATTTTTACTATGGTTCATTGGGTAAAGAAATGGTTCATTGGGTAAAGATGCTTGCTACCAAGCTCGATGGCCTGAGTTTGATCCTCAGGACCCACAAGGTGGAAAGAGAGAACTGACTCCTGAAAGTTGTCCTTTGACCTCCACACATGTTCTAAAGCATATACATGCATGCATAAATAAATAAGTAAACAAATGTAAGTTTTTAAAACTTAAAAAAATATAACTGGATTGAGATAGGTAAGGGAAAAAGATTGAAGAGGAAAAAATACATAAGAGCCAGCTTTTGTATGTTTCCTTGAACTGATTATTCCATTTCTCTGAAAAATGTAGTTCCCTATCTTTTCTCCTTATGACCATTAGAAGTCTGACTTGAAAAATAAAACAAAATGAACAAACAAACCCAAGTAAGGGTTTCCGCTAAACACATTCCAAGGGGTTTTCTTCACTGCCTTTCTCAATACAGATCCCCACCAAAATCAATGACCACCACATGGAAGCAGCTTAATATTCCTTTAGAATTCCTTTAGAACATTCTTATGGCACTGTTATTTTTTCAACTTGTTGCTAGAACTCTAACCTAGTTCTTTATCTTCTAAACTCCACAGACATAAAAGCTGATTCATCTTCTAAATTCCAAATGAAGTACTGTTTCAGTTCTGACTTAGATTAAATTGAACACAGTGCTTTTTGCATATTTAAATTTTTTTCCATGGCTCAAAAATAAGTCTCTTTTTTTTGTCAGGGGTGTGGGGTGGGGGGAACAACACACACGACAGGGTCTCCCTGCAGCCCCAGCTAACCTAGAACTCACTATGTATACCAGCTTGGCCTTGATCTCAGAGATCTGCCTGCCTCTATGCTGGGATTAAAGGCATGTGCCACCACATCCAGCTAGCCCAGGCTTCTTCTTACTTCTTTATGTAAAATCTATGTGAACAGGCTGAAAATGTTTCTAATATTCTTCTATCTTAAGGTGAAAAAAATGAAATCTTATTATATCCTGTTGTTTCTTTGGTATACTGCTTTATACTGTGGTTTCTATACAGAGCAAGGGAATGCTGCCACCCTCATCTTCGTGGATCCCAAATCAACTCTATAAAACAACTATCACCAAGAACTTCTGAACTTTTACTAAATATTTAGGTTTTTTTTCAATCCTTAAAGATTAAATTAGTAGTAAAAATTAAAAAAAAACTGTAAATGTATTCTTTCTAAATCCTAACAGCTTTTTTAAAAAGCCATTTGGGGGGCTGGAGAGGTGGCTCAGGGGTTAAGAGCACTCACTGGCTGTTCTTGCCAGAAGACCTGGGTTTGGTTCCCAGGACCACAGTTCCAGAGGATCTGAAGCCCTCTTCTGGCCTCCACAGGTACTGCATGCATATGGTGCACTTACATACTTGCAAGCAAAACAGTCACACACAAAATTAAAGCAGTTTTGCCTTATGTTTGTCCAACCATAACATCTGAAGTAAACATCAAGCTCTAATTAGTTGTGACAGAAGTATTAGTGAATTGATGGTGCATAGGAACAATAGCTTGCCCTTCAGATATATAAACAATGTCTACCATTCTACCCATTATTTGAAGCTTTAAATAAGAATACTGCATTAACACTTCTTCCAAGAATTCTTAGATGTGTCATCAAGTGGAAGGTGGCATGTCTCTTCAAGAACAAACCCACACAAGATACCTTTTCTCTTTTCCCTTGGTTAATGCTTTAAGTTTGCTTGGCTGTGACTTTCTTCCTTCACACCTAAACTGTTCTGCTTCCTGACTTCCCACCCAGTGCCTCAACGAAGGACTACTTATTCTAGACATTCACAGTAGCGACTAGGTCTTAGAGAGGCACATGGCTAAGGAGGTTTGGAAAGTCACACACTTAGGGAAGAGTGGAAAATAAGCCTAAAACATGGGCCTTTTTTTTAAATCTAGAGGACACGGAAGAGCTGGATGCTTACAGACTCTTGCCAAAGGAAATATGGATGGCCAATGAGGACAAAAGAGATGACAGGATCTAGTCTCTCGGATGTGCAGGGGTGTACTGTGCAGTGGTGGTGGCTCCCACGTGCCTCATAGAGAGCGGCGACCCGGGTGGCCCACACTCACCGTGCTGCTCTGGCCGGGGCCCTAAGGGCTGGGGCTGCGGGTCCTGATGCTGCAGTGGGGAGGTGGAAGCCGAGGCAGAGGCTGAGGCCGACGTGATGAGGAGCCGCTGGAAGCGGTTGGGCGGGCGGCAAGGCACCTCCAGTCCGGCTGCCAGCTTGGCCTTGTTGGCACTGGTGAGCCTCTTGAGGTGCACGAGCAGCTGGGGCTGGTCACGGCGGAAGTGCGGACTGTGGAAGTGGTGGAGTGGCCCGTCGCCCGCCGGCCCGCCAGCCCCAGTCCCCGCCGCCCCCGGCCCACCCAGCACCACCTTGCGGAAGCCGTAGAGGTTAAGCTGGCGGATGAAGCTGGTAAAGTTGGTGGTTTTGAAGAGTTCGGGCTCGGCCCCGGCTACCCCGACACCGCTGCCGCCGCCCCCGCCACCGCTCCCGGCGCCCAGCCCGGGTGGGCTGAGCAGCTCAGCCTCGAAGAGCGGCTGATCGATGAGCAGCCCTTCGCCGCGGCCGTCCCAGCGGATAGAGCGGTACCGAGGGCTGTTCACCAGCCGCCACAGCTTGGCAGGGAAGTTGTTGGGGTTGATGGGGGTGGACAACAGCGCCTCCTCCATTGCCCGCTCTCCCACCATTCTCGATCCCCCAGGCCTTCGCTGCGCCCTGCCCCCTCCTGCCAGCGCCCAGCCGCCGAGGCCCAGGACCGTTGGCGCACGGGTCGCCAGCACGCCCTCCTGTGTGGCCAATGGGGCCTCGAGTTCCCGCCTCGTGGTGGCCTACAGTCGCGAGGGCCCCCCCTCCCCGCTTCAGCGCCATTTCCACTGGGTCCCAGGAGGGCCACCCTCCAGGGAGTTCCAGCCGTCCAAGGAGCAGCCAGCCCGCTTTACCATGCAGAATGCAAAGGGGCTTCGCAGGGCGGCATGTGGGGTTCGGAATGCAGAGCGCACGGTGGGCAATACGGCCGGCCGTTCCTAAGAACAGAAGGCCTCACTCCAGTCTTTCCTAACAGTCGAACGGTCTCTCCTAACAAAAATGATAGATGGGGTGAAGGTACAATAATCGGAGTACATAAATTCACCTTTTACACAATAGCATTTTATATAATTTAAAAACCCAGTATTTTGCTCAAGAAAACTTGAATTCAGTTAGATGAGAGTGTGCCTGGCAGAAGGGAATTAAGAGACTTCAAGTACAATTTTGTGTGCTTGCTCCACCACCTGCGATCTTTCTACATTAAACCTCACTCGAAAGGGGACAGAATTTTACAGAATCCAGCAGAATAAATGTTTTATGCAGTCAATAATCACAAATATAAGAGGAGATGTAAAACACCTTATATGCATGTATGAAATTCTCAATAAATTTTTTGTTAAAAAAAAAAAAAAAGAGAAGCTGTGCTGATGAGTATTGTAGTTTGTTTTGTTTCTGAGACAGGGTCTTGCTATACATAGCTTGGCTGGCCTTAAACTTGCATTAATCCTCCTGTCTCCCAAATTACTCCCAAATTACTGGGATTACAAATGTGTAATCACCACACCTGGCTCAAAAGTACTACAATTTCCTTGATATGAAAATAAAGGTCTGGGGTTCAATGGTAGAGTGCTTTATATGTGAAGCCCTAGGTTCCACAAAAAGCCTGGTACTACAAAAAAATAAAATTCAAAAATAAAAAGACCCAACAAAGCAGCACTAATATAGAGATTTTATTTAAACTGTATTGAGTTTTTACAGCACATTGCATGTTTGTTACAACGCGACTGCACGGTTTGGATTTTTTGGCCACATCATGTCACTTACACCCACAACAGCTCTGAAAGGATGAACACATCTGAGCCAATAGCCCAGAGTTTCTCTCTGAGGCCATGCAGTTTGTTCACTGATGGGACAATCCCTCAAAACAGTCACACAAAATGGACAGATACAGTCTCCCCGAATGTTTCCAATCCCCTGAAGACAGAGTGAAGTGCAATGAAAATCATTAATTAAAAAGCTAGTCATGACTGGCAATAAATTTTAAAGATTGAGAAAAATGCTAAAAATAATTTTATGTATCAGACAAATAGTTTGTTACTCTTTCATTTGATCCTAGAATTTCCCAGACACACAATATCCATTATTCAGTGCCATTTAAATGAAAAAAAAAAAAAATTCTGCTAGGCTGACCTAAATACGCCAAAACTTTTTAGGTTATGTCCATGGCAAGTATAAAAGGAACACAGATGCTTCTCTGTAAGACTGAAGAAAAGGTCAGGACAAACAAATTTGTTCTAAATGCAGTTTTCTAGTTATTTTGGAATGAAAAATTTTTCTAGAAAGAAACATGGCAGTGAGAAAGACAACTGCCATAGTTTTAAAACAGTTAAATAAGCCTAAGTAATTTATCTTTTGTATATTAATGAATTAAGGAAAATGTATAAAGGAAATCCTAGTACTTTCACTATGGGCCAAAGAGACTGTATCCGTCCCAACCACAATACATGGCTATATCACTGTATCTTTTGGTTAAGTGCCACTGGTACATAGTAAGATGAAAAACACAATCAAAATAAAACAAACAACAACAAAAGAAATGTTTGGTCCGAATGGACACATGATCGCTCCCAATTTTGGTATCAAGGCTTTCTCTTCTGTTTGGGTTCCATTGTTAAGTGCACAGAAATAGACAGCAGCATTTTTACTGAAACCCTCACATACCAAACAGCATCTGCTAGGAGGTAAAAACCAAATGCTAAATTCTACCCTCAAGGTGTCAAGTGTTCAGGATAAGAAGCAGTGTGACCCAGAGGAGGCAGCAGCCAAGGGAAAGACAACATGGGGGCGGGGAGAAGTGGGCAATGGAACAACAAAATCCTTTGTTTTATTTTCATGCCAGGAGAGGATCAAGGTGTAGCTCCCATGTTAGCACCAGGACAACTAGGAAAAGTCAGGCGCAAAGGGGAGGGCATGATCAGCAGATATTTCACAAGGATCATTTTTGCTTTTCCCTTCTCATTCTTCACAGTGCATACCTCAAGAGCTGCCACTGCGTAATAGCGACTGCCTTCACAGTTCAAAGTAACTGATTTTTGCCAAGATTGAAACACCATCAGAGTTTTCCTCTGTTTCCAAAAGTGTCTCACTCAGAACTGTCCCCCCAAACTCAGCATTCGCTGATGCTGGCCAATGAGCCAGATGAAAAATACATCAAAACCTCCATTTGCCAACCCAGTCTTTAAGCCGAACGCCACAGAAGACAGTACTAATGCAACTAGAGGGAGTGCCTCTAAAAGACTGAGCCTTCATGCACAGACACAGAGCACAGAGGTACAGAATAAAGTTCATTTCAAATAGGATAGGAATTCCTATCTTATATACTAGAATCTGCTTTTTTCAAGGTGGAGGAGAGATGGGTCTCATTATCATTTGGAGTTTGGTTTAAGTATGCCTTTCTATTGCTGTTTGGGCACTTTGCACCAGGCAGTATCTATGAAATCATCATCTTGTGACACCAGGAGAAAGAAGCTGGAGTCACCAACTCAATGGTAAGCTTCCAGACTCTGGGTCTGGATCAGGACCATTACCCCAAAGTGAGGGTCTCTCCAGTAGAAAACCTCCTGCCAAATTGAAATTCCTCTGCTCCAGTCACATGGTACCAAGGAGGATTTCTTAAGATGGTATCTTTGAGCTCTGTGGTTTCATGAGCCATACCAAGGAACCTTCCAGACTACACCTGAAGCAGATCCTCCCTTCAAACCTAAAAATGGACAGGTCATCTCTTCTGGCATTCAACTGGAAGCTGTAGCGATGGGTTTCTTCAGATGTTGGCTCATGAGTTCTCTGGCACGAGATACTTGAATGTGTTCATAACATGAGTTACAGACGAGAACTGGGTCATAGAGTTGTTGATCTGGAATGGGCAGCTTCAGGTGGCAGCATCCAGCACAAAATACATTCCCACAATTTCTGCCAAAACACAAAGAGGGAAGAGCTCATTACAAATGTCAATGTACTGAGAATGAATGACAGTTTAAAGGTGTTCCATGAATAAATAAAAAGGTTGGAAGTGAACAAAAATAGCTACTATTAAGATAGCTCCATTTTCAGATTAATTCAGCTTAGCTCTATATGTTATGTACTGTCCTACTTTGTAAGTCACACCAAATCAAAAAACAAAACAAAACCTTACCTGCAGTGGTGTCTTCGTTTGGCTAACCAGAATTCACAGTCACAGTTATAGCAGTGTGATGCCATATGGTCTGGAACCCAGCGAGTCACCTAACAGAAGGCACAAGGGAAAATTCCAGGTCCTTGTCCACAGAATAGAAGAACAACATTGTAATCAGGAAAGCAGCCCAGGAGAAAATGACCAGGATGGTCTTTACAACTGGTCACTACTTGCCTACAAGGATGGTTTTATCTAGGGGAGAGTTCAGGCCACAGCATGTCACTCATCTCAGAAATATAACTCACTGGCTTGCAATAATTACCCACTACACATTTGCCTAGACATACCTCAGTCTCCTTCTTATCAACAGGCTCCCAGCTTGCTTCTGAAAGGCAGTCTTCACTGTGATCAGACCCAAAATCTTCAGTGTCACTGCCATCTGACTCCTTTAAACACGTCTGCAGCACAGGCAAAGACACCAGCATTACCTCATTCAACACAAGCACTTACTACTTATTAGGCACTATTCTAAGTGTACTACATGCACAAACTTACTTAACTCCTCACAGTGATCTTATGGAGAATATTAGCATTATTCCCATTGTATACAATAAGGTAACTAAGCCACAGAAAAAGTTAAGAGATAGTAAATGGTAAAGATGGGATTTGATCTTAGTATTCCAGCTCAGAACCATGATGTTAAAATCAGTATGCTATACCACAGCATAGCCACATTCATTCATTTACACGAAGACCACAATGAATAGTTGGTCACAGACCATATGGCTCACACAACCTAAAATGTTTACTGCTTGACTTTTACAAATATAAAAAGGAAGATGGCTCCTAGAAGCTCCCTGAGGACTACAATGCCAGAACCCAAGACAGCCCAGGATAGTAAAGCCTGGACAGTCCTTACCATCCCTTACCTGGATTATTCTAAAATATCCTAACCAACCCCCTACTCTGGATCTCAATAGCCTCATCAAAAGGAACTCAATCAAGTTTACCAAGATTCATCTAATTCTCCAGTGTTAACTCCTCTTATACTATAACTCCCCTTCACAGTCCCAGCACAACTATGTATGTATGCTTGCATACATAGGCCCACATGCCTTTGTTTAAACCATATCATCAGAGCACCTACTGCTTCCATGCTTTTGAAAATGCTATTTCCTTTTCACTGTCTACCTAAATATCATATATTCTTTGGCACTCAGCTTAAGCATTATCCTCTTAGGAAAGCCTTCCTTGACCTTTCACTCCACTCCAGTCCCCTAAGCCTGGTGCCTTCCCCCAATCCTAACATCACTGTATTTACTTATCTTTCATCCTGTAGCCTGAACACCTAACTCAGTGACACAGAAAGTCCCCAACAAATGAAAGTTGAATGGAGGGATGGCTGAATGGATAGAATAAATGGATGGATGGATGGCAGCTCGTGAATACTCACAAAATCATCCTCATAGTCCATAGGGGGCTCTGCTGGAGGGGCACAACAATGACGGATATCTAGTCTCATCTGAAGCTCTCGAACCTGTCGACGCAGCTGCTCCACTTCTTGCTTGTACCCTGCTTCAATTTGCCGTAACCTATGTTGGATTACATCCGTGGGAAAGGGGAGTCCATCATCATCCAGGTAGAGAGGAGGTACTGGAGAAGGGCAGCTCAGAGGAACAGGCTTTGTGCTGGAGACTTGCTTTGGGTGACTGGACAACCACATCCGGTTGTTCTTTCCTCCTGGGCCTGTACAGTGTCCATTGGAATGACTAGAACAGACAGGTGACTTCATACCTTCTCTCTGTGCCCACTGGCCCCCAAAGCAGGGCCCCGTGGCCCGCATCTGCTTACTACTTGGTCTCTTGCTACAACAGCCGTAAGAACGCAAACGTCGAGGGGTAGTCTCACCACTCGGAAATGAAGTCATCATCCCTTGGAAGCTGTCCCAGTTGGACCCCAGAAAAGAAAACTCACTGATCTGACTCTGAGAAATTGGTTTTCGGGCCAACTCCAATGGCATTTTCCCAAAGCGAGGATTTTCCAATAACTGCCCATTCTTATTGACTCTCTTGCCAGCATCTTCCTCCCTGTAGATTAGATCCAGCACAGAACTGGGCTGTTCCTGGTGGGAGATACTTGTCATAGGCCCTTGGGGATCTTGGCTGAGGAAGTCAGCACTTGGCTCTTGAGGAGTTTGGCAGGTAGCACTTGGGGGGTTGCAAAGGCTGCCCAGACTGTGATCTAGAGCACACCTTGCGGGGGTTGCGGCTAGCATGGATTCTAGCTTGGCCTGCTGGAGGGCATCTGTAAGAGAATCCCGGGCAGACTCAGGAAAATTACAGGCTCTACCACACTTGGTGGAGATGACATTAGCAAGTGCACTGACAGCTTCTGTTTTGGGACACTGTTCGGATGGCTCTGAGTCATCAAAAGTCCTACTCAGCTCCTCTTGGACTGGGGGATCTGGGGCTGGTAGTGCCTCAGTCTCTTCTAGGACTTTGATCTCAGAGATGTTGTTCTTCATTTCCCGGGGCACAGCTGTATTAAGCAGTTTATAACTTAGAGAACAGTTTTTGTGACCCTTGAAAGGCTTATTGCTCAAGTAGTCTTTCTGGTTGGGCAGAGGAGGAAGACCCACTTCCACAGGCGCCTGAGGACCTCCTACTCCAGATTCTACAAAGGCTGTATCTGTTCCCTCAGAATTGCTATGCCAAGGCTCCAGGCTGACTCTGACCTCTTGACAGTGGTTATTCAGGTTAGGGTCACTGGATGTGCGAATCAGGGGGCTGCTTGTGTCACAGGCAGAAAGAAGATCATCCATGGACCTGGTTTTAGGTAACCTGGAATGACAAACACAGACTTTCCATTTAAGGAAATGGGAGCAATTTCCAATATATAGAATTAAGTCAGAGTTGACAAGACATTTAATATTATAAATAACCAAACTTTGGGGGCCAGAGAGATGGCTCAGCGGTCGAAAACACTGACTGCTCTTGCAGAGGACCCGGGTTTGAGTCCCAGCACCCACATGGCGGCTACGAACCATCCTTAACTCCAGTTCCAGGGGAATCTGACACCCTCTTCTGACCTCCTCAGGCACTGCAGGACACAGGTGCACTTACATATATGCAGGCGATATACTCACACACATAAAATAAAATATTAAAAAAAACAAATAACCGAAGTTCACTGAGAGTCTACTCTGCAAAAAGTATATGACTCGTTCATCCTCAAGAACCCAGATCCGCCTCCAGTTCTACATTCCCAGCATACACAATCTTCTAAGGCCAACTGAACCACCAGATAGTTTCAACTACCTGCTATGCTGATGCCTGCTCCCCCCACACCCAGAGGTGCTGTGTATTGAACCCAGGGCTTTATATGTGCAAAGCATATACTCTGTCACTAAGCTATACCCACAAGCCTGCTGATGATTCTAAATCCACTACTATAGCCAGGCCTATTCCTGAGCCTCAAACCAATGTCCTGCTGTCTCTACCATAATCAGACAAAGACAATAGGTTTTGAGGCTAGTGAACATTGACTCTCATACTGATTAGCTCCCTGACTAAATAATTAACCTCTAAGATGCTTAGTTACCACCTACAAAATGTTAATGTTATGCCTTGTAGAGATGCTATAAAAATTCTAAATATAGGAAAACAACTACAAACCATAAACTTATCCAGAACACATGTCTCCTCAACATGGTTTTTTTGCAGCTACTATGTAGCAATCTGTATCTCTACCCAGAGCCCCATGAAAGTTCTAGTAGGCATCATTCAAAGAGCTCAAAAGGCATTCATTCCTACACACTAAATGGTTAACAGGCATTTTCAAGAATGGCTATCCTGATTTTTACTGTGGTACAAAATCTTTAGAGCAATAAAAATTTAGGAAAATTGGCCAGGAAACATTCACTGGCCTCCTCTTTTCAGTTGCTTTAATTCAACTCACACAGAAAAATCCCCTAAAGGTCAAGCTACAATATAGCTTATTCTAAGTACTTCATTTTTTAAAAAAAATTTATTATTTTTATTTTGTGTATATGAGTGTATTGCCTGCGTGTATGTAAGTACACCCATGTCACATGCCCTCAGACTTCAGAAGAGAATATCAGATTTCCTTGGAACTGGAGTTAGGAACTGTTGTTAGCTATGGTGGGTGCTGAGATTTGAACCCAGGTCCTCTGCAAGAGCAGCTAGTCCTCTTAACCATTGAGCCATCCCTCCGGCTCTAGTACTCTTTCTTAGTTACTTCATTATAATACATATTTATAATACATATTTTTATATTTGACTTTACTTTTATGATCAATTTTGTGTGTGTGCAGGTGAGCATGCACATGTGTATTTGTTGACATTAGGAGTCTTCCTCAATCACTCTCTACCTTATTTTTGAGACAAGGTCTCTCATTGAGCTTGGAGCTGGCCAATATGGCTAGACTGGCTAACCAGCAAGCCCCAAGAACCCTCCTGTCTCTGTCTCCCTGGTGCCAGGATTAAAGGCATGAGCCTCCACAATAGGCTTTTTACATGGATGCTGGGGAGCAATCTCATAGGCATGGCTCAAATATCAGCAGGGAAACTTCTTAGCTAATTTCTCTAAACTTCAGTTCCCTTATCTGTGGAAGAAAGGTTAAGGGGCTTACCTCCTAAAGCCATAGCAAGATTTGAACAAAACAATCCGTATCAAAGCACAGTGCTCAGTGCTGTCTAATGTACATTACTGCATTTCGCTTTTACTCATTTATCTCCTACTATTGAAGTGCCCTGAGGTCAAGCCTATGTCTTACTTGAATCCCCAACACGTAGCACAGAACCAGGGCAATGATATGAGAAATAAGCAAATGAGCTTAAGGTCTATATCAGGTTTCCTCTGGTAGGTGCCACCTGAATAAAGCAGGTAAGTCAAGTTCAATAGCTGACATATTTCAGGAGCTTGCTTCCGAGGTCCATCTGAGAGCACCTGAGAATGGCTAAGAGTAAAGCCTAAACAACCTTATCTTTCTTTTCCCTTCTCCCTTCTTTTCTCTTCTCTTCTCCCCCTCCCCTCCCCTCCCCTCTTCTTTTCTTTTGGCTAGCTGTGAAGCTGAGTATTGAATCCGTAGTCTTGTGTATATCCTCCGTCAGTGAACTACATCCCTAGCCAAAAAAAGTTACAACTGACTTTTTCGCCTTTTTTAAAAAAAAAATTGGGGGGGGTTAAGCTCCCTGTAGCCCCACCTGGCCTGGTACTCACTATGTAGAAAAGACTGGCTTCAATCTCACAGAGCTCCTCCTGCCACTACCTCCCAAGTGCTAAGATTAAAAGCGTACACCACCATGCCCAGCTAATTTTTTAAAATTTATTTTTATTTATTTTACGTGTATGAGTGTTTTGCCTACATGTATGTAAGTGTGCATGCAATGCCCAGGGAGGCCAGAAGATGGTGTTGGATCCCCTGGAACTGGAGTCTATAACACAGCCATGTGGATGCTGGGAACCGAACCTGGGTCCTCTGCAAAAGCAGTCAGTGCTCTTAACCACTGAGCCATCTCTCTAGCCCCTTGTTTTACTTTTTATTATGGAAACTTTCAACTATATAAAAGAGTACAAGAAACTTCCATGCACTCTCTGAAATTCAAACAGCAACAACGTGTCACCCTTCAAAGCTGATTCACATGTGCACCAAAGGTTTAATCAATAGTGGTGGTATAGTCAATAAGGCCTGAGAAGTTTGGAAGAGGAGAGTTCAGCCAGTACAGGTTGTGCAGAAGGCTACACAGAAACCATACAATTTGAGCTTGGTGTAAAACAGTATGTAGGGCTTTAAAAGAAAAGGAAAGACAGGAAAATACTTTTGATCTTGGGAAAGATGGTAGAATCAAAGGTAAGTTAATCTTCTAAATCCAGCTCTCCAGGTTGGGCTACCTTGTAATACTCGTCTACTAACAAATAGCACTTCAATCCCAACCTCCCCGTGTCTCCTCTTTCTCTGCAAACTGGCTTGTCTTCTCAGCCTTTCACTGGCTATTGGTGATATGAATAGTCTCCTAGTTTTTAAACTTAGAGACTTCAAATCTGTTTTTGACTCCAATGACACTTTGGATCACTCTGTACTTTTACTCTCCAACTTCTAACAGTTCCTCAGTCTTCTAGTAACTTCTCTACTATATTTCTAAATATAATCTTTTCTCTTCCAGGGATTCTTCTCATCAGAATTACTCAGCAGAGCTGGCTGGTCCCTGTGCCTCTCTACCCAGCTCAGTGATAAGTTGTCCAAATATCCCATTGTTAATAGGTCATAATGACTTCCTGTGATAGTTTACTATTGACAACTGAATCAAATAAACTGTAACGCTTAAAAGCCCTCAACCACTTGTATTTCTCTCTGGTCCTCAAACATACCCCTTCTCAACTGCCAGCAACAGTTTCTTTGGCCCTTTCTTCCATAATACAGTTACCGCACTCACAACTCACTTTATTCCAAGCATCTATCCACTTAAAAATTTGCTAAGTCACTTATTATGGCCCAATGTGGTGGTGCATACCTGTAACCCTCACACTTGGAAGACTAAAGCAAAAGGATTAGGCGTTCCAGGCCAGCCTCAGCTAGCCAAGACCCCTGTGTCAAAACAAAACAACATCTGGGACACAGAAACAGCAATGGTTCCTGCCTCCTTCATAAAAATTTCCTGGGGCTGGAGAAAGGGCTGTTAAGAGCACTGACTGTTCTTGCAGAGGACCTGGGTTTGAATCCCAATGCCCACATGGCAGCTATGAACGGTCCTTAACTTCAGTTCCAGGGGAATCCAACGCCCTCTTCTGAACTCCGCGGCATTGCAGGACACAGGTGCACTCACATACATGCAGGCAATACACTCATACACATAAAATAAAAATAATATATATTTTTTTTAATTTCCTGGGTAAAAGAGCCACCAAATGATCCTTTTTTTATAATTTGGAGAAAAGGAAAATCACTGAAATTTTTCCCGTCAATGGGCTTGGCTCCAAAGATCCTAAAATAAAAAACTGAGATGGCCTAGTTCTTTGTTATCCTTTGTAATAGTCAACCAATAGGTTTTAACTTATAAAGCTTTGGCCAATAAACAAATAAACTTTAAAAAGCTCCAGCCAATAAACAAATTTTGGATCATGATGGTACATGCCTATAATCCCAGCATTTGAGATACTGAGGCCAGCCTATGCTGATTCTATTTTTAAAAATGAAATACATATACCCTTTTAATTTCTAAGAAATTCAAATTTCTGGCAGAAATACTAGCACAATACAACAGCACACACTCTACAACTAAGCTACAACCCCCAGATGAGCTGTGCTTAAAACTGGTTTTGCAAAAAAGAAAGAGTACACAAAGTTGGTCAGGAAAAAGTGATGGGGAGATATGGGAAGAGTTGGGGGGGAGGTTTTAGGTGTGGATTTGATCAAAACATCTTATATGCATGAATGAAATTCTCAACAAATTTTTTTAAGTTAAAAAAAAACTGGTTTTGAAGATAAACAGTATGTACACTTTACCATAATTTAAATATAAACACACACACACACACATGCACGCATGCACACTAAAATATTTAATGATCTGATCTAAAAAGGGGTCAATAAAGGGTTACCCAAATGACATTCTTAACTTTGGACTACTATGCAGTCACTAAAAACAATAAAGCAGGGCAAGTAATATGGCTCAGTGTAGAACATTTGACTGGCACGCACAAGGTTTGCTCTCTAGCGCTACAAAAGTGAATTTATCTATCATTCATTCATTCATTCATTCATTCATTCATTCATTTATTGAGACAGGGTCTCCTAGAGCCCTGGCTGGCCTGCAACTTGCTTTGTGGACCCGGCTGTACTCCATCTCAAGTGCTGGGATTAAAGGTGTGAGCCACTATGCCCAGCTACAAAAAATAATAAGGAACAATAGCTAGTTCCACAAACAACTTTAAAATTCTAAAGGTACTGGTACATTAGTAATCACAAATTTGGTTCATTAAATACCTTTTTAATCCTATTTTTAAAAAAAAGGTTTTTTATAACCTTTTCATTAATTAGTCATAACATGGCAAATGTATACTTGCTGTTTCTGAAGTGATCCAAATTCTGTATCCAGAGATGACTAAGTTCTTACAGAATTTCCTAACAGTATACATGCTGGGGTGAGGAAGTCTTATAGTTGGTGTGCCATGAAACTGCATGCCTGCATACAGATTGCTGTAGTTTACATTTGCTCTGTACCATTTTTACTTAGGACACCACAGAATGAACTATCCAAAAATCCATCGATTTTAATGTGTTTTGGTTTATAAGTGAATTACAATAATTTCTTACACATTTATGGAAATCAATTGTATAAAAATTTATGTATCAGCCGGGTGTGGTGGCGCATGCTTGGAGGCAGAGTCAGGCGGATCTCTGAGTTCAAGGCCAGCCTGGTCTACATAGTTCCAGGACAGCTGGAGCTACAGGGAGACCCTGTCTCAAAAAGACCAAAAAAAAAAAAAAAAAAATTATGTATCGGGGCTGGAGAGATGGCTCAGCGGTTAAGAGCACTGACTGCTTTTGCAAAGGACCCAGGTTCAATTCCCAGTACCCATATGGCGGCTACGAACTGTCCTTAACTCCAGTTCCAGGGAATCCGAGGCCCTCTTCTAACCTTCGCAGCACTGCACGACACGGGTGCACTCACATACATGCAGGCAATACACTCATACACATAAAATAAAATAATAGGGGCTGGAGAAATGGCTCAGCAGTCAAGAACACTGACTGTTCTTGCAGAAGACCCGGATTCAAATCCCAGCAATCACATGGCAGCTAACAACTGTCCATAACTCCAGTTCCAGGGGATCCGACAGTCTCTTCTGTCCTCCTCAGGCACTGCATGACAAGGGTGCACTTTCCTACATGCAGGCAATACTTGCATACATATAAAATAAAAATAATATTTAAAAACTTATGTATCTACTTCTAGATGCATATGTAAATAAAAATTTCATTCAAATAAATAAATAAATAAATTTAGGACAGAAGAGGCTGTCGGATCCCCTGGAACTGGAGTTATGGACAGTTGTTAGCTGACATGTGGGTGCTGGGATTAGAACCCGGATCTTCTGCAAGAACAACCAGTGTTCTTATCCACTAACCCATCTCTCCAGCCCCCTTAAAATTTTTTTAAAAAGAAAAACAATGACATTGCTTTGTATATGCTGTCACTGGATGACAACTTGACACAAAACGGGAAAAACAATTTGTAAAACAGTACACAAAAAACTGAGGATTTAAAAAAATAAATGTACTCTAAAGGTAGGAATGACTGATCAGTTTTACCTAAAGGGTCAAGAGAGCTTGCACCTGAGAGCCTCACATGTGTGTATGTTTCCATAAACATCTGGATGAATGTTTATAGTATATACTTGTGAGGAACAGAATCAGGAGGGGGATGCTCATTTTCTTTTATATCAATTGACTTTTTTTCTTAAAAACAACAACAACAACAATATAGAAATGTGGATTACTTGTATAATTTAAGCAGTCACCATGCCTCTTTCCCCCAAAATATTTAGTCATAAGAGAACTTTAATGTCTTGTTTTAAAATTCTGGCCTTTTCTGATGGAGGAAAATTTATCCCCTGATGGTAACCCTTGTAGAAGCAAGTCAGATGCTTCTACAAGCTAATGCTGGCTATAGCAAAGATTGCTATTGAGAATAATCTTCCACACCTAGTTATCAGTGAACAAAAACCAGCAGCATTCCCACAAACCAAAGAACAGTCGGATCCCAGAAGGAGGAGGGAGGAGGAGGAGGGAGGAGGAGGTGAAGCAGGAGCAGTAGCAGCAGCAGCCAGTGAGATGGCTCAGTGGGGAAAAGACACTTGCCACCAAGCCTGACAACCTGAGATCAATCCTTGGAACCTACGTGGTAGGAAAGAACCAACTCCTAAAAGTTGTCCCCTGACCTCCACATACACACTGTAGCACATGCAAGCTCGCATGCATGCACACCTACACAACAATAAATAAATGTAAAAAGAGAGTAACTTTTAGAGGAGACAGGAAGCAGTAACTACTTTTCTAGTTAAGAATAAGGAAAGTTACGAAGGGCTTTCTCACCTGTCTAGAGAACGACCAGAGAATTCCTGGCTCTGGGCCACTGGGGAAAGATAAAGATCCATATTTTCCTCTCCAAGTGTGCATGGAGATGATGCAGGCAGATAAACAGCTGTCCAGAGGTGCAGGGCCCGGACATGACAAACTGGATGCAGGACCTAGGGAAGCAGCCCAACACTAGCGTTTTATGAGATGCCCTGGGTTTGTTTTCATCCCCTGGGCCTTTTGCCTCTACATTCCCTTCTCCCTATAGGGTTCCCAGTAGGAAAAGGACTCAGCCTTACCATGTCTGAGCTAGGTGTATAGAGGAAGTTATGGAAGTTCTTATTGCCGGCTCTCAGGAGCGCCCACACAGAGCATGTCCGCTTGTAGATGTTGCGCTTCTCTCGTTCACAAGGATTGTTGGCTAGGAATGTACCGTAGAGACAGGAGTATGTGTGCTGCACCAGTTTGACCTAAAAAGCCAAGAGAGCTTGTTTGTACCTGGGGGCCTCAGGACACCATTCCCCAACCCTAGCCACACAGGTCACACACAGGCTTTAGGACCTACCAGAAATGCTTCATTAAATTCAAACAGGCAGGGGAATTGCTTAAGCAACTGATGAACCGAATCAAGCCACTGGAGGAACACAGGACATTGTTCATTTTGGTCCTCTGCATTCTCCTGGTGGCCACAGCGGTCTCCAAACTTGTGCCCAAAATCTAGCCAGTCAGATTCAACTAACACTTGGAAGCCCTGCAAAAAGGAAACAGGCTAAGCACAGGGCCTCTCTGGAAAAGCTAGGGTGCAGCTACAAAGAAGTCTAACCCTGGAAGAGGATTCAAAGCCATCAATGTCCACTACTAAAAGATTCCCAAGACACTTTCAGGGAGCTCAACACCTTCCCTACTCCCTTATTTCCTTTCTTCTTTCCCACTCAACCCCCTCCTCAGTACCTCCAATGTCCTGTAATAGGGGTCCAGTAATATTTTAGCCAAGGCTACAATCTGCGGTGTGCGGTCCCAACCATCAGAGCAGTGTACCAGCACAGGCCGGCCTTCCCGGTCTACTGTATTAGCCACCAGCACAGCTGCTTTTAGCATCATTGATAAGTGCTGCAGCCATTTGGTACTCTCCAGCGCCGACAACCAGCTGTGCAAGAGCAGAAATAGTGTATCACTCTAAGGGTACTGAGGGCCACCACAATGTCTTCACCACCCTCAGCCAGCTCCACACAATGAAATTCCTAGTAAAGGCTGAACTCAAGAGGTCTAACCCATGGCCTTTCTACCAAGAGATATCTGGTAGGAAGGTAGGGAAACAGGACTGAGACAGGTAAGAGCTTCTTGAGAGTTGAGAAACAAATTGGGACATATCACATGCATACTTAATCACCTTTTCTCTGCAATTCGCTATGTTCTTTGACAGGATAATGATGTAAACAAAAAGAATCTAATATCCTGTGACTGTGCCCAAGAAGTGTTACTCAAGAAGTGGAAGAAATGTTCTAGGAACTGGCCCACAGAATCCAACCTGCAATTCTTAATTTCCCATCTTCCCATCTAATCCCCTAAGAACATGCAGTATTGGGCAAGGGATGAGACTGGAAAGCTGACTGAATCACAGTAGGGAACACCTACTTGCTGGGATCTGGCATCTGGCTACACACAGCCCGGAGATACTGGAAGCTGTTTCGGATGGCATGGATGTTGGCCATTCCCATAAACACGACCTCACAGTTGGGATAATACTCTGCAGACAAGAGAGGGGAGTAGAACATAAAAGCATGTCCTGGAAATGGCCATCCAGGACAAGAGCAGTCCCAGGGGACAGAACTTCCCTGGCAGGGCAGAACATTCTAGGATGGAAACATACTAAACACTCTTGAAATCTGAATTGCACTTTTATCTCTGGATACTTAAATGTTACATACTTAGGGTAATCGTAATACCAATGATAGCAGTACTAAGAATAATGATATAAACTCTCAACAAACAGTAGCTGCTCTGTGCCAATGCACAAATGCAACTTCTAATCATTCTGACAACCTTTCAAGGTATAAATCATCCTCATTTGAATATATAAAATGAAATGAAACTTAAAGAGTACTTCACAATTATAGCTGGTGCAGAACCCTGGATCCAAGCAGGTTTATTTGCTTCTTTCCACTGTTCAAGCTACCCTAAACCCCCTCTTCACAAGAGCCACCTACAACACAAGGTGACTACAAACAACGTGTAACCACAATACCTTCACATTCACAGCCTCCACCCTTGGCCCGGTTAGCCACTGCTGCTGTGTAGGACCGTGCATCCAGTATCAGTAGCTTTTGAGGGGCAGCTGTGCTCTCTACCCCAGAGCATGCAGTTAGAGAAGAATCTAGATACACAGCAGGGAGAAGACTCAGAGTCAGCCAGCCACCCAACATCACCCTAGCCCTGGGGCACTCCAACTCAAAAGAAAGGAATATGCAATTACAGACCCCACAAACCCCCACCTCCCAAAAGGCAGGGAGCCAGGCACTCTGTGCTGTTATCTTTTTCTACTGGGGATTTCCCGGGAACCAGAAAGGCCCCACCAGTAGGGGGCCTACTGCATGGGAGCACTAGCATTGCTCAATCCTTACCAAAGTCAATGTCACATGCCTCACTGGCATCATTAGTCCCAGTGTTGAGGGAGCCCCCACTAGCCCTTGTTCCTGGGTCCAGGGCACAGGCTTTGGCAATGGATGTGACCAGGTATTCATCGTCAGCATTGCGCCAGCCCCACCAGCTGATCTCAGGCTGGCTGCAGCGGGCAATGGCAGCCCCATTGCGCAGGTGTCTGACGAAACAGAAGAAACCATTATGCTTTTGGCATTACAAACCTACAGAAGCCTACCATTATGCTTTTGGCATTACAAACCTACAGAAGCCTACCACAGAGGCCTCAGGCCAAACCAAGGTCTCCAGAGCCAGCAAGGGCTACTAACATATCCAGGTCATGGAAACAGCAACCAAAAGCCTTAACATCTCTAGAGAGCTTTATAGTTTACAAAGCACTACCATCCACATTTTCTCAAATGGGCTTTGTATTCCCAAGGTGACACTGACTCATCAAATCTGCATAGCACCTGCTCCAGGTTCAGCTATGCAGCAAGAGAACAAGCCTGAGTCAAGAACATGAACTATTCCAAACCTCATGGTTACTACCAATCTCAGGCTATTTACATTCTTATATAGGAATTAGCCAACTCTAGAAACCAGTAAAAAATTTTGGCTTTGTAAGTCACAACCAATCTCCATTGTATATTAATAAAAAAAAATTCCTAATCATGGTATGCTGACATATGCCTATAACCCCAACACTCAGGAGGCAAAGGCACAAGTATGAAGAGTTCTAGAGCAGCCTAAGCTAGATGCATAGTGAGACCCTGTCTTAAGACAAACATTTAAAACAAACAAACAAAAACCTTTAAAAATATAAAAATCAGATCTAGGCACAGTAGCACATGCCCATAATCTCAGCACTTGGGAGGCTAAGGTAGGAGGATTTAGAGTTTGAGACCAGTCTGGGCTATCTAGTGAGACCATGTTTTAAAAAGACTCCCACCCACGCCAAACAAACCATTCGTAGTTCATAGGCTATACATAAATGTGGTATAGGCCTGATCTGGTCTCCAAATCAGCTTGCCAACCTCTTACTAATGCAGTATTTTACACATACACTCCAAATAAATAGGTAGATAAATAAATGTCCCCTCAAAATCTGAGGTGGTTCCTACAGGTTCTTATTTTAAAATAATTTTAGTCATTTCCCCATAGGGCATCAATTCCCTCTTAACCAACTGCCTTAAAACCTTTGATTTTCCTTACTGCATAAAACTTGGCCTCCCCACTTCTCAGTCCACAGTCTCACCTATATACAACAACAGGGATGCGCTTCCAAGAGCGGAAGGAAGCCACATTCTCCAGCTCTTTGTCTGTAATCCACACAGGAACCAGCAGCTTCTGGGGGTAACTAGGGCACAGCCTGAGAAGAGACCGAGGTAGGGTATCACTGAACTTGATCTAAAATATATGGTAACAATGCCAGGAGATGGCTTTGTGGGACTAGGACTGGGCACCTCCTCCCTCACAGACCCAGAAGCTCCGCCCACCAAGCATCACACAAACAGAAAAAGTTTGGGTCTCAGACTGGTATTTTGGTCCCCCAGCCCTGCCCTCTCACTTGTAGTTGCTGTTGATATGTGAGACTCTCCAGACATTCTGCAGGTCAAAGCCCATCCTTGTGAGCTCTGCCTCTTGTCGACATCTGATATGGTCTCCTGCAACACAACCCCCAGCCGGTAAGCTTCCCAGAGCATCAGGGGTGGAGGAGGGATGAGAACTGCAAGTTAAGCAGCAGCCTCCCCAAGAAAATAGCTTGGCCTCACCTGGCTGACATAGGTGGGTATGCTGATCCTCCTCAGTCAGCCCCAGGCACCAGGCATGGTAGGCAAAGGCAAAGAGGTCCTCAGGCTTGGCAGGTCTTGCTGTGGCCCGGCTTAGCCTTGAGAGCCATTCTTGGCACTGCTTGAAAGTGGAGAAGTGGCACCTGCCAGGCAAGAAGCCACAGGCTTGGATGAGACAAGGGGCGGGTGTGCCATGGGGCCAGAGTTGAAAACATGGCCACAGGAAGACTGTGAGGAAAGGAAGCTGCAAAGCAGGAGATAAGGCAATGGGGACCCTAGGAGATGGGGGCACTGGGCCAGTGCCCAAGATAAGTTGTCTCTTGTGACAGTTCTTCTCCCAGGAACTTCTGTGTTTAGACATACCTGTCCCCTCTGACAAGGCTGTACCATTGCTCATGTCAAATCTTGTGCCCACCCTACCAGCCAGCATTACTTCCCGATGACTCCAACACAAACCTTCTGTCTCTTACCTGAGTAACTATAACAGCTTCCTAACTAGTCTCTCAGCCTCAGCCTTTGCTCCCATTTTCTCCTATCTAGTTTCAACGTAATAGCTAGAATGATTCCATAAAGCATTAATCATATCACATCACTCCCTTGCTCAAAACCCTCCAGAGATTTCTCACTTTCCTTAAACCAAAGTCAAAGCCAGAAACCTCCACCCCCTTGCGCTCATGCCATATATCCCACCATCTCACCCACATGTACTCCTTCCAGTCACACTAGCCTCTTGCCATTCTTCCAATACGCAAACACAGGTACATACCCACTTCAGGGACTTTGCACTCACTGTTCTGTCTGGAATATCTTTCTCTAAAATACCAACATGGTCACTTTCTTCAGGTCCTGATTCAAAAGCACCTTGTCTGTGTACCTTTCTCTAATCACTTGTCTAAAGCTACAACGTTCATCCTTTTATTTTTAGCTCTATACTTATCATCATTTAAAATATTTCACTTATTTGTTTACTGGTAATATCTCCTCATTGGAATATAAGCTCCTTTAGGACAGGAAATTCTGTCTGCTTGCTCTTCACTGTATCTCCAGCCCTAAACCAGTCTGGCATAGATTGCTCAATTAATGTATATTAAATAAATAAATGAACTAACAATAATGTCAGTGCTCTGTGCTTGATACTGACCTAGGTGCTTTCATATGCATTACTTCAGTTAATCCTTATGATGGCTCCATGAGCTGGGTATTATCCCCATTTCATTTCAGGTCAAGACAGAATGAGTCAGTACATTGACCCCTCCAACCAAGAACAGAGAAGTCACCTTTCCTCCAATGGGGAAAGTGAAGAGTATCTTTCCTCTCTTGCTCCAAAGGAACCCTGCAGTAGAGAAGTCTGCACAAGACTAGGGTTAGGGAGCATGCATAAGGCCCCACTGTGCTTACCTCACCACTTTGGAGTCTTTGCAGGCAATGTGCAACTGGAACATATCACGACTTTCCACGCTGTCAATCATTCGGAGGGGCACCTGCAGAGGACGGGCAAACTGAGGCTCAGATCCCCAACTCTAGGCCAGAGGCTGATGCACCAATGGAAGGAAGGAAACCTGAAATTGCTGACGGCCTGTAAAAGCCGTAACTGTGCTGGGTCCTTCACATAGCGACCAATTAATAACTACAATAACCCTAGAGGCAGGTGGTTTCAATCAACAAAGAAGAAATCATCACTTGTCCAAGGTGGTACAACTGGTACATGGCAGTGCAAGAAAAACTCCAAGTTTGCCTGACACCAAAATCTATGCTCTTCTAATAATGACACTATCACTGTGCTCCTCTAAAAGCCCAACAGAAGGCTGGAGAGATGGTTCAGCAGTTAAGACCTGGGTTTGGTTCCCAGCACCTACATGATGGATAACAGCCACCTATTAACTCCAGTGTCACAGGATCGGATGCACTGTTTTGGTTTCTTCAGGCACTGCACATTTGGTACACATACATACATGGAAGTAAAACACTCATACACACAAAATACAAATATATCTTTTAAAAAATATTTTATTATTTTTGTGTACACGTGTATTGCCTGCATATAGGTAAGTGCGCCTGTGTCATGCAATACCCATGGAGAACAGAAGAGGCTGACAGATTCCCTGGAACTGGAGTTACGGACAGCTGTTAGCCTCCATGTGGGTGCTGGGATTCGAACTCAGGTCTTCTGCAAGAACAGTGTTCTTAACCGCTAAGCCATCTCTCCAGCCCCCACAAATAAATCTTTAAAAAAAAAAAAAAAAAAAAAAGTCTGAACAGGATACAAGAAAGGGAAGGAAGGGAAAATAAGCCAGAGAGACAGAGACAAACCCACATATAGAGAAATGAGGCAGGAAAAACCAAAGCCAGTGAGAAGGGAACTCCAACTGTTTTTGGAAGGCATAATGAGGTACAATATTGGCACAATACCAATTTGAAGCACATAGAGATTCTAACTTTGGTGTGGGAGGACAAGATAGGAACTCACGTTGATGACAGAGTCTTTGAACTTGATATGTAGCCGGTAGTTGGAGATGGCAATGAGAGCATCAGCTGCCCGGCCCAGGAACTCCACTCCCTCACCCTGTAGCACTGTGAAGGGTACCTGCCAAAGGTCAGAGGAACCCTCAGTCCAGGATCTGGTCTCCTCGTTCTTCTCTGCATCCCCTGCTCTATAAGAGCCCCTCAGGAAAAGCTGAACACCACAGGAAGGAAAGTCCTTACCAGTCATGTGTCCAGAAAAGCTCTCTCTTCTAAGGCCGGAGGTTCCAAAATGCACAAATAGAAAGACCCCACCCCATCCCCTCAAAGGCCCAGGAGCAGGAAGCCAGAGCACTGGTACTAGATCCTTTAGAGATTTGGGGGTTAGGAGGACACTAACTCAGCAGAGAGCCCCTCCCATCATAAGCCTACAGCTCCTCCTTACCTGGAGATTCTCCTCCTCCTTCACCAGTTCCTTGGGGGGGAACAGATCCTTCGCTTGGATGTACTCCAGGCTGGGGGGGCCCTCCTCACCCTGCAGGAAGGCCACAGCCCTCAGTTGCTAGGACCCCCCTTGGTTCCTCAGGCTCACTTACTCTCCTCGTCTACTAACAAATCTATAGACACCCTCACCCCTGTATGTCTAAAGGTTCTGGCCTCTAGAGGAGGGAAAGGAGACCTGGCTTCTTGCCTGGAGGCAAAAAGGGGTAAAATAGAAAGGTACTAAGCCTGGTAGGTCTAAGGGACGAGTGAGGTAAGTCAAATCCGCATTGTTTAAAGTGACCTCTCCTTAGAACCAAAATTGCAAAAATGAGAGGAGGGGAGAAAACTAAGGAAGACTAACGTAAGAGTTAAGACAACTGGGACTGGGAAAGGGCCATCTGAGGAATAGGAGCCAGGTGTGGCAGCTGGTTAAAGAGTAGGGAAATCAGGCACCTCCAGCCACTGAAGCTTCAATCTGGTGGGTGAAGGAGACAAAGAGGAGTAGGTTGGGGGGATTCAGTCCCATGCCTCTAGAGGGCCTTTGTGAATGCTTTCAAATGGAAGATGTGTTTTAGAGCTTTTTAGAGCTGAGCTTATCTTCCTATTGGGCTTACACTGCTGACAACAACGCCCCCCCCACACCTGCCAAGCAACCTGCCCTGCCTGCTGATCTGAGGGGAATTCCTAAGGAATACCCACAGCAAGCAGAAGTCACTTTGCTCCCAACCACCAAGGGAAGGGAAAGAGGGGATCCACGCAACAGGGAGGAAGCAGGAGACCCAAGGACAGCCAGGGGAGAAAGAGAGAAAGCTTGGCAGACACCTGGGGGTGGGGGGGAACCCGACATCTGAGAGGACAGATGGGGAAAGCTGGGAAGGAACATTAGCCGGGGCGGGGGTGGGGGAGAGGACACGACACCACGACTGGGAATGATCTGGAGATACAGAGCCCTGCATAAGCAGGGAAAATGGAGAAAAGAGGCTGTCTGGGGGACAGTCAAGGAGAAAAGACTGGCATATCAGGTGAAGGATGAAGTGAGGGAGGAGGGGACTGGAGACCGGGAGACAGCTCACAGTCATAATTCTATGCTCCTCGTCCAGCCCCCTAACATCCTACACAGCCTTACTAGGCACATCCCACATCCCCAAGCAAGGATGTAGCGGGTGGGACCCAGAAGGAAAGGCGGAGGTAAAGGGATGTACCCCTGCAGGGCGGGGCCTGGAGATCTGCAGTCAAGGGCAGTGGCTGCAGAGCCAGAAAGGGCCACAGATTTTCATCCCCGGCCTTCTACAATCTCCAGTACTCGCTTTCTTGAAGCAAGTCTGAGAAAGAAAAAGGTTAACCCGCCTCCCTCGCTCCCCGAGGTTTGGGGTCGGACTGGGCGCCTTGGGCGGGGCTGCCGGCACAGCGAGCTTTGGACACCCCCGCCCCCGCAAGCAGGCCTCTCCTCACACACTTACGAAGCAGCTAAGCATGGAGCAGGAGACGCGGGCGGTCAGGCTCATGGTCGCGGGCGAGCTGGGCCAGCGCACATGTCCCCGGAGCCGCTGCGCTGCCCACCAGCTCCGGGCGCCCGCTGCATCCCGGCTGCGGGTTCCACCAGATGCAGCCGCGAGCGCCCCCAGCACCTGGACCCGGACTCGGCTCCCGAGGACCTCTCCCCTCCACTCCACAATGGAGCGGGCCCAGCTCCGCCCTCCCGCCCGAGCGCGTAAGGGAGGGGAGGCCGGCTACCGCAGCGCCCGGGACGCCGCAGGGAAGGCGGAGGCGGAGCCGCTCACGAGGCCCCGCCCGTCGCCCAGGCTCCTCCTTCCCACGGCCCCAGGGAGGCGTGGGACCCACGACCCCCGGGACTTCTAGGGACATTCTAGAGAGTGGGCTGAGGGACTGCCCCAAGACCTCCCGGGAAAGGGAAGCAAGACCGACCGCACCTTTTCACTTCCTGTCTTCCCAGGTGAGCCACCCTGCGCCCCTCCTCACGCCACATGCCTCACACCCTCTTCCCTTCTCCCAGAGCTCCTAGCTCTACGCTGGCTCTGCATCCCAAGATGGAGCTCACTCCATGTTCTTCTCAGTACCAACGCTTCCTCCCTTCCTCTCGGAAACCACACCCGACTCCTCAGCGTCCTCCACTCCCCTGCGTCACCCTTTCTGTCCCCTTAAAATGAACTTTGGTCTGGTGCTAGGTTAGTAGTCATTCCACAGTTCTAAAAGGAAAATCCTTTTATTTCATGACCCTGCCCAACCCTTCTCCTTTAGCTCCATCTCTCCCTTGTTTCACATCTCCTGGTCAATGGAAAAGAAAATCCTTCTGGAAGAATTTATTAGTCCAGGGAAGAGAAGAACTGAAATTATGAATTATGGAAACTACAGAAAAACACAACTTGAAACCCAAGAGTAGAGAAGACGAATGGAGTTGGCTAGAGGGCCAGGGAGTAAGGAGTGATAAGGGGCTTAGTGTTACCAAGAGTAACTAACAGAAGGAGCTTGCCAGAACTCTGAAACTTCCTGTACTTTGGAACTTGCAGAAACTAGGGCTTTTGTTTTAGGAGAAAGAGATGAACAGAAAAACTTGACATTTTATTAGGCATTTACTATAAGGCCAACAGTTTCAAATCTAAGCTTTTTAGTGGTAGTGCTAGTTTTGAAATTAGATGAGGCTGACTCTGAAGTTCATGCTCTTTTCAGTGTTTCACAGAAAAGAAAAAGGAGATGAGCTATCAGTTGGTGGGGGCAGGATCAATCAGCTTTCTGAGAAGAGTCCAGTCCAATCCTGCATATAGCATAGAGCCATATATCTATGAAAGGAGGAAAGGAAAGGAGGGAATCTTCTCACCAACTGAATTCATTAACCTGTGACCCCTGAAAGAAACTGAAGAGGTCCAGCCAAGTAAAGGGCCTTGTCTAGGAAAGGCTTGCAAGGCTGCTTCTTACTGCTAGAGTCCTAGCTCTCAGGAGTTAAGGAGTTCTCTCAACCTCGGATTTCACAGGATTGTGTGACGAACCACCGGTAATGATATCCTGGACACCTTCAGCATGCTCTCCTGATATACTCAATCAGCTGTTACCTCAGTAGCTTCACAGAGAGTAACACCTGAGAGCTAAAAAAGGCCCACAGTTTGGCTAGAGTCACTCCCTGGCACAGCACCAACTATCTTCATGAGACCCCCCAGAAGTGCAAGGATCTTAAGATAAAGATGTGCCTTTGGGACCAGAATATAGAGATTTGACCAGGAATCCAAGAGGGGAAATGTTATGAAAGGCTTAGAGCCAATAGTTTTGTTAGTATAGGGAAGACATGGCATAGCACATACAGAAAAAGGCAAAACAAAACACAGGTTGCTGATCCCAGGACTGTATACTGCCTTATGTTTTCAATCTGAAGAAACCCTAAGCTACATGCATAGCTCAGGTTAGAGCACTTGCGTACCATGCACAAGGCCCATCACAAAAAGGGATAATCCTAGCACTTAGGAGTGGCAAGCAGGAAGACTTCCACAAGCTCAAGCTAGCATGGGCTGTATTTCTGGTACCAGGCTAGCCAAGGCTACACAGCAAGAACCTGTCTCAAAACAACAAAAAAATTTTCCCCAGGGCAGATGAACCTGTTAAGGAATTGAACAGAGCACCCTGGAACACTACGGCCAAGAGGGATGAGGCAGCTTCACAGAGACAGACAAGAACATTATACACAATGGTATGAGGAGAGTACTCACCATTCTACCTTGGTGAGGGTCCTGGCCACCTGCTTGTCACTATAAGGAGATAGAAAAACACAAGAGTCAAGAGCACCATCAACATTGCCATAAAATCAACAAATATCACACATCTACTCCTGAACTTTCCTACAACTAATTTTTCTCCACCACAGAGGATCCAGCCCCTCAATAAGCCACCATACCAGACAGGCAATGGGAGCTATGTGGGCAAGAGCAACAAGTGATCCTGTAGGGTGTGAAATCCACCACAAAGTTCAGGAGCAGGAATGAATACCATCCAATCTTACTCAGCAGAACTCAAGAGTTCTGATTCCCACACCCAAACCTGTTCTTTACAGACACAAAGCAGTGCCAGCTCTGAAGAGACAAAGGCTGACCAACTGGGACTCACTTTTGCCCTGATAGGGGCATGAATCCACAGCACTATTCAGCCAGTCCCTGAGTCTAGGAGTAGCACCCACCTGACCTGCTGCTGGGGACAGAGTCCAGAGCAAAGGACAAGCGAGAGAGGACCACAACCTGTGATAAGAGAGCAGCAGGGTTGGCTAGATCCTGCTGAGCATACTTGAGACTAAGTAGGTGGAGGTTACAGGGAGGAGATAAAACAAAAAACAGTATCAGGCCTGGGAGCAGCATCTATCAAATGGGTCCTCCGTACTAACAAGGAATTCAAGATGAAGCCTCCTAGGCCCACTTAGGGAGCCAGGCCTGGGTTTCACTCACACCCCTTCATGTGAGTTTGTTATGCTTAGGGGGTGTGTAGCAGAGTCCCACAGGAGGCTACCGCGATTAAAGCTTCCATTGTGATCTTACCCACCTTCCCCAGACTACCCTCCCTCACGGGGGAGCCCGCAAGCGGCCAGCCAGAGGTGCTGCCTCATGGTTCACTGGCACGCAGCCTCAGAGAAACGGAAAGAGGAAAGGAGCCACGAGGACCAGGCCTAGAAGGTCCAGGGGTTCCCTCACTTAGGGAATCTGGTCCTGGGGGGACGGGCCAGGGTGGCCGGGGATCCCAGGTGCCCAGGTTCTAGGGGCGGAGCTAAAGGCTCGGAGGCGGAGCCCCAAATGACAGAGGGCGGGACTCAAGAGAGCCGGTGAGGGCCGGGCAAGACGTGGTCATTGTGGTTCCCAGACTGGCAGTGCACGGGGTACAGTGACTCACCCAGGCGGTGTCCGCCCGACCCTCCAAAGCAGCGCTCTCACCACTTCCGTCTCCCGCAGCTGCTGAGGCCGCGCAGCTCGAACCCCACCACGGTCCCTTCTCGCCAACCAATCGTGTCTCTAGCCTGTATCCGCCCTGGCCAATGGCCACGTGAGGTCCCGCCCTACCTCACCACGCAGCCGCCGCCCTCACTCTCCCCACCGCTCATTGGTCAGGTGGGCAGACGCCCTCTCCAACGGTAACCTATCGGGTGCCCCCAGACGAGCCCGTCGTGGAAGAAGGAGGTGCGGCGCTGAAGAGCCGACGCAACCAATGGGAAATCACAGCGCGTCCCTGTGGCAGCCAATGGGGGAGGACCGAGAGGGGCTGCAGACTACGGCTCCGAAGGTCCGGAAGTAAGGGAGGCCTGTCGCCTACTGGTAGCGCAGTGAGAGGCGGGACATCGTTAGGGGCAGGGGCTTTGCAGCCACTTCCGGTGACAACCGCGCCCTGGAGTAGTTCTTGAACGACTTTCCTCCCCGTGGCTCCTAATTTTAATCCAGCCTTGATTTTCTTTCGCCCGGGCTGTTCAGTTTGAAAGCCAGAATGGGAGTGAAATCTGACGGCCAGGAAAGGGATGGGCTAGACGTCATTTCATGGCCTTCCCCTACCCCTTCTCCTTTGGCTTCGTTTCTCCCTTGTTTCACATCCGTTGGTTGATGAAAAAGAAAATCCTTTTGGAAGAATTTCTTAGTCCGGGAAAGAGAACTGAGATTATGGACCACTGAAGCTACAGAAAAACTTGAAAAACGGGAGTACATTAGATGGACAGAGTTGGGTAGAAGGCCACGAGAAGATCACCGTTTGGCGGTGCTGTTTCCCCCTTGCCTGTCTGGACAGTTTTTTCCAACCTCCAATTTTTAGCGATGTTCTATCCTGCCGTCCTTCAAGACCTGCATTGTGCCTCCAGTCCCTCAGTAAAGATCTCTCACCTAAGAAGAAAGCTGGATCTGAGACTGCCAGTAGCTAGCTGCGGTTTCCTGGTCTGTAAAAGGGGTCGAGGGGACAAGACTCCCAAGCACCCAAAGCCGGCCACACGGGGGAGGATGGTCGTTGGAGGTCTCCGTGACCCGCGATACTACGAACCAAACAGAAATGGAGAATAGAGTCTCTACAGATACTCTCCGCTCTGGAGTGGGTCTGAACGCTTTTATACGAGACTAGTGTCTTAGTTTATAAGCATTGGAACTTTGTTAGTACAGTTAATAAATTCTAGGAAAACTGGAGCCTTGCCTGTGTTCACTGCTTTTGACTACACGATCTAGAACCAGAGTCCGCAACCTTGCCAGTGCTTTACTGAACTTCTCTGCAACAAGGATTGTGTTTTTAAAAATCATAATACTTATCTTTGATTGAAGGACCTTCAGCTTGTTCAGTGCTCTGTCATAAGTTTCCTAGAATTTAGAGCTTAGTTTTGCACATCTTTTTACCAAGATCTGAGGAAACAGGAAGTCAGAGGTTGCCATTGTGTATACCTTGTTGTCCCAAGGGCTGGTGGTAATTAAAAATTGCTACAAAATTGAAGGTACTGCCTGTGAGAAAAACAGAGACCCAGGGCCCCCGATAACTGAGGCAGAATAGACATGGTCAGTAAGATGGAGACACCAAGCTGTATTCTAAGCAGAGTGAACCCTATATCAAAGGAAGGGAAAATTCATCCCACTTTCTACTAAAAGCCAGAAACCAGCATCCCCCTCCATCAGCCTTTCAAAGTAAGTCCAAAGATTTTTGTTTCCAGGAGATGGTAAAAATACAGACAGGGACAACTGAAGCCACATAGATTTATTAAATTTTATTTCCTCTGAGTCTCTTGAGAAGTCAGCAGGGATATAAGGCGAAGTGGTTATAGCTGCAGGGTCCTGAGCAGAGATGGTGCAGGGAGGGGCTGGCATGGGTCAGAAGAAGAGATTTAAATATCCAGGTCCAAAAGCCAGTTAATGAGTGTCCTTCATCTGTCTTTGGATTTTGTGTAGCATCTCCTGCATCCGCCGCAGCTGAAATAGGCACATGCATCAAAACAAGGTGTTTGAGAGAGAGAGAGAGAATCCTATTGTATTGGAGAAGTGTTCCCAAATTCTAATCCCTTGAGTGTGGGCCTTGGTAGCCCTGATGTATGATGAAAACTGGGCAGAGAGAGCCACTCATCAACATCCCAGACATGTACCAGACGGGGATCTTTTCTATTCCCAAACCAAGAGATACTGAGACTTATCAAACAGAGGACTTCCCAGGCTGACAGCAACAGCATACTGCTCTCACCTCCTCATCTTTCTCTCGGATTAGCTTCTCAGTTTCTGGATCTGTCCCTGGTGGGACAGCAGGGATAGGGAAGTCAGTACCACTCTCTCTTGTCAGTTTGCTGAAGGGAGGGGGAAAGGACGGTAGTAAGGTTTGAGGGGACCCCAGCACCACCTTGAGTTGACCCTGGGGCCTGTAGAGTGATAACAAGAGGACTTGGGATTCCCCCTGCCAATTCTGTCCTGGTTTCTGATCATACTTGCGATTCCGTTCCTTCACCACTAGGCGGGTCATGCTCTGGATACACTGTGCCCTGTAGTTCTCATAATGTGTCTCTCGAGTCACATCCTTCAGGTCCTGCATGTGGGTGCGCACCAGCATTGTCCTCAACTTCACAAAGTCGCAGTGCCCTGGGTTTTCCACTGTATAGCAAGGCTAAGGGTCAGCCAGGGTGTGGGTAGGGGAGAACCCCTAAAGGCAAGGATACCCTGGTCACAAGCTGAATGCTTTACCTTCCACAATACCCCAAGGGTAGAGCCGACCCCGAACTCTCCGCCCTCTGGCTTCTACCACAGTGTTGCTGCCAATCACTGCAAATGGGATGCTTTCCTAAAAGAAGTTACAGGTGCCTGTCAGCATCCTCGTCCTCACCTGAACCTTTCCACTTGTATCTTCTGCTTTGCTCTAAGAAAATGGGGTTCTCTTCCACCCAAATAGTCTGTCATTATATAGAATTCTACTCCCTTCTTCTGCCCAGAAGAAACAAGATGGGAAAGGGATGCCCCTAGGGAAGCCCCACCTTTAGGGCTTGGTCCTGTAATTTGAAGTCCTCATCCTCATCAGAATCACAATCTGGAAACTGATAGATCTTGATTCCAAAGTGCTCAATCTCCTCCCGGATCTGGCAAACAGATGAGGGGTCCACAGTTCTGGGTACCCCATCCTTTCTAGAAACCCACCTGCTTCCCTCCCTCCATCAACTTCCCTCACTTTGCATTTCTTTCGGTCCACTTCAGGAGGTGTCAGTGTGTCTGCCTTAGCCAAGATAGGCACGATGTTGACCCGCTGATGCAGGGCCTTCATGAATTCAACATCCAGTGGCCGGAGCCTGGGGAACAGGAATCTGTGACCACCTGCTAGTGGCAGCCCTGCCTGTGGTGTTCTTGGCCTGTTCCCTTAGCAGAACCCGGTGGTGCCAGGAGCCTCAGGCTCAGATCATACCCGTGGCCGAAGGGTGAGATGAAGTACAGGCAGCAGTGCACCCTGTTGTCTTGGATGTTCTTTCGGTTCAGGCCACTCTCATCTCGGAAATACTGCTCAAATTGTTGGTCGATGTATTCAGCCACAGGCTTCCAGCTGGAGCAAGGATAGATAAGCAGAGAAACTGGTAGTGGGGGCTGCCTAGTAAGCTCTGGAATTGCAGAAAAGTGGTCATGACTTGAACAGTGTTTTACTCTGTCTTGCTTAACTACACCTTCAGGGAAATACCTGGGTAGGACAGGGATATTTCACATTTCTTGATAGAAAATTAGACTGGGTACTCAGGCAATTCAATAAATACTAGGTTGATGAGGAAAAGGATCCTGGTGATCAAGCACAATAGTAATAATAGCAAGGTGAACACCAATTAGAAGCCCAAGAAACCCTAAATCAGGTTCACAGTCCAGCCTCAGAACCTTTGCTCAAGTGGTTGCCCACCCTTTACCTCTCCTATTCCATCCTTCAGGGTCCTGTCAAGATCCAACTCTTCCATGAAGGCTCTTTGACTATACCAGTGCACACTGCTTTTTTATTACACAGCCACATGTATATTTCTACACACACACACACACACACACAATCGTCCACCATGCAGCAGTGTTTCAATCAACTTTGGATTCCGTATACTTAAGTGGTCTCATAAGGTCATAATGGAGCCAAAGAATTGCCATTATATGATCATGGCATCCATGCAACATGTGTTGCCAGTCCTATAAAAGAACTACATACACACACACACACACACACACACACACACACACACACACAGCCTGGTCTGGTGACGCAGGCCTTTAGTCCCAGCACTTGGGAGGCAGAGGCAGCCAGATCTCTGAGTTCAAGACCAGCTTGGTCTATATAGTGAGTTCCAGGCCAGCTGGGGCTACAGGGAGACCCTGTCTCAAAAAGACCAAAAAATAAAAAGAACAGCACATACAGGGCAGGCCTGTGAGATGACTCAGCTGGTAAAAGGTGCTTGCCATACAAGCCAAGCCTAGCAACCTTTGTTCAATCCTTAGAGCCCACATAAAGGTAAAAAGAAAGGACCCATTCCACAGTTATCCTCTGACCTCCATACATGTGCCATAAGATGAGTACCCACAAACACATATCATGCATGTACACATGATGTATTTTTTTTACAATAAATTTTAAAAA